GGAATTGCTAACCAATAAATACAACTATGATATCATTGGTATTACAGAAACCTGGTGGGATGGGACGCATGATTGGAATGTTGGTATGGAAGGGTACGGCTTGCTCAGGAAGGACAGACAGGGAAAAAAGGGAGGAGGGGTTGCCTTGTATATTAAAAATGTACACACTTCTTTGTACAGTAGAGCATCGTTGCTTTTCCGGAAATTCAAGGGCCAGTGTAGACAGCTCGCAGCTTATTTCGGAAAAGCGGCTGATTTTCCGGAATAAGTGGCCCAATGTAGACACAGCCACAGTGTGCAGCACCGGCACCGTTCCCGGGAGCTCCACAGCCAGCCCAAGGGGTCACAACTGAGGGAAAACATCCGGCAGCTGTGTGCACGGTGCGTACACAACTCAACTGGAACACGCATGAGCAGGCACTCCAAGAACTACCCAGGCTCACATTGCTATCAGGCTGTTTCCCCCAACACTAATTACCGGGGGAGATGATGGATTTCCCAGCCCCTGGAGCCCTTTGGTCAAGGCCGGACACCTGTCGAACAGACACGCTGGAGCTTGCAGAGATTGCGGGCTCAGCACAGAATCACTGCGCGAGGTTCCCATGCTCACACCAGGGGCTGGAGAGCAACGGCTCCAGCGTGCATGGCCTGGCAGAAGTTGCTGTGCTCACTGCCATGCAATTCCCTTCTGGCCCAGGCCACCACTGCCATGGTGTAGTTAGGAAGGGAAATATGGGTGAAGCCTGACCTTTAGGTAGGCAGGAACTGCTGGGAGGCACGGGAAGGAGACAGGAGGGAGGGGCCCAGCTGCCCTACCCACCTCCACCTGCCCCTTGTCGCTCAGCAGGCACAAGAGGATGAAAATACAGTGGGTGCTCAGCACCCCCAGCCGCCTCCCCAGCCAGCTGTATCCCACCCACCTGCCTCGCCCTCCACTCTCAGCTCTTCTGCAGCATGCAGGGGGTGCTGGAGGGCAGCGGGAAGGTGGGGGCTGAGTCAGCCTGGCGTTGCCCTGTCCGTGCTCTGTCCCCAGGAGGGCCTGAGCTCCCAACCCTTCCCGCCCTTCATGGCTCAGGCTGGGGCTGGTGCCCCCAGATGACCTGCCACATGGGACTTGGCGAGGCTGGAGGAGATGCCTGTCCAGGGCTCTCGGAGCGGGGGCGCTCAGGCCGCTGGGACCAGCAGACGCAGTGGGGGTGCGCCAGTCTCCTCATTGCAGGAGGAATAATGGAAGTTCGAATTAGGAGCTTTCATTTGAACTACCTAGGCTGTGCCGCGTGTAGCCACGGGCAGGGAGTTCGAACAATGGGGCATTTAAAAATGGCGGCACCTGGGAACATGCAAATAAAGCCTGGGATATTTCAATCCCGGGCTTCTTTTTCAAGTTCAAATGCCTACATTAGCCACCCTCGTTCGAACTAGGGGGCTAGTGCAGACATACCCTAGGAGGGAATGGAAGAGGAGGGCTAGGTCCTGGGGCAGAAGTGGAGGAACCAGTGGCTAACCTCCCCTATAGCCAGTCACCTGCTCCCTATGAGGAGCAGCGGGGGCAGAAAGAGGTGGGGGGAAGGGCACATCTAGCGGAAGAGGCAAAATTGGGCAGGAAGCAGGGGGCCAGGAATGGAAAGTGGCCGTGGAGGTGGGGCAAAGAGGGATGAGCCCTGGGACAGAACGGGAGTCCTGCACCTCCAGCAACTCGGGAAAGACAGTGCCACTCTGTTTACCCTACAGCTGAGAGTTGCCTGGGCTGGGAAGCCAAGCGGGTGGGGCTGCACCCACCCTGGCCCAGCTGTGGCTAGGCCTCTGCCCCACCTGCAAAGCACTCTCCGCCTCAGGCAGCTTAGAGGGATCAGGCCGCCTGGCTGCCAAAGAGACCCGACCCCCGTGCCTGAGCTTGGAGGACTCAGCTCACTGCAGACAATGGAGAAGTAACTCACATGGCGTTGTTGAGTTCATGGTAATTCTGGGAGTCTCCCACGTAGATCTGGGCCCCCTTCAGTCTCTCCCAACAGCAGTCTTCCCTGTTCTTCACAATCACCATGGAGACAAAATGCCGGCTGCCCAAGTCCACAGTCCACCACGGATCTCTTTCAAGCCCGGTGTGGCTGCAGGAGCCCTGATCATGATACCCATTACGTTTTCCGTCCACGGCCCTTGCAGGCACGGCTTCCCCAGCGTCGTCCCAGTACGTGGACGACTGAGTGGCCGGACTTTCCATCGCCAGGTTCTGAGCTGGAATCAGAGGGCGAGAAGAGGGGAGGTGGGATGAGCCCATCGCCAGGGCCTCAGGATGGTTTTCGTCCTAAATGACATTAGAACCAGGCACCGCGTGAGAGCCAGGTTCACAGTGGGTCTCAGGGCCATGCGGGCAGCAGGGACTGGGGTGTAACGTAACAGGGCACGTCACTGTGCCAGCTCCTTACCCCCTGGCGTTGGGGTGCAGTCCTGAGAGACCCCAGGCTCTGCGAGGATCCCAATCACCATCCACAGGCACCAGAGAAGCGCCATCCTCGCACTGCCAACACAGGAGATCAAAATCAGCTACGGTCATGGCGCGGTTCAGGTGGCACCTCCCACCCACCGGCTGGGTCTGATTTTTCCAAGAAGGAAACTGAGACACAGGGAGCAGCCAGTTGTCTAAGATCCTGAAGCAGGTGTGGGGCAAACCTGTGGCTGGAACCAGGGTGCCTGACAATCTATCCCCCTCCTCTGCCCACTGCACTATCTCTTCTGATTAGTTTCCACTGGGGAGGTTAGACGTAGATTAATTTAATAATTGTGTAACTGTATCAAAATGTAGTGATTCCACAATGATTCTATAGACCCTGGGGGCAGGAATGGCAGGCAGTGAACTCCATGGGAGTCCCAGTCGCCCTGTTCTGTTGCCTCTGTATCAGAGGCAGCAGCGCAGGATGGCTGGCGGAACCTGTCTGCAAGGAGAGCTGGTTTAAAAACAGGATCCTCAGGGAGATTGGCTCCCACCTGCCAACCCGCGCCGCTGCTAGATTAATTTAATCATTGTGTGACTGTATCAAAACGTAGTGATTCCACGATGATTCGATGGCTGCAGGCAGTGTGTTTCTGGCCCCACTTCCGGGGAGCCCCCGCCACCTGTGGGGAGCTGGCTCCCCCCGAGCACTGGCTCCTGCCTGCCCCCCTCTGCTTTTGTGGGAGGCAGAAGGAGGAGAGGGGTGTAGACGGCTCTGCGGAGCAGGTCTGCCCGGAAAGTCTGCTTAAAAGCCAGCTCCCCCCGTGTATTGGCTCCCACCGGCTCCCCTCACCCTCCACGTTGCTCCCTGTCTACCAGAGGGACCAGTGCAGGGACAGCGGGAGGGGGCTCAGAGAACTCCAGGAGATCCAATGCTCATGGGGAGGCAGCTTAAAAGCCAGTTCCCCATGGACACCGGCTCCCGTCACCCCCCTTTGCCCTCTGAAACAGGGACAGCGGAACGCGAGTAGCCAATAGGATTAACCAATAAAACTAGTCTTTAAAGTGCTACATAGTCCTGTAGATTGGCACGGACGCTTTTCCGCAAAAGCACTTTTTGCAGAAAAGTGTCTGTGCCAATCTAGACGCGCTTTTCCGCAAAAAAGCCCCAATCGCCATTTTCGCCATCAGGGCTTTTTTGCGGAAAACAAAGCTGAGCTGTCTACACTGGCCCTTTTGCGCAAAAGTTTTGCACAAAAGGACTTTTGCCCGAACGGGAGCAGCATAGTATTTCTGCAAAAACACTGACAATCTTACATGAGATCGTCAGTGCTTTTGCAGAAATTCAAGCGGCCAGTGTAGACAGCTGGCAAGTTTTTCCAGAAAAGCGGCTGATTTTCCGGAAAAACTGGCCAGTCTAGATACAGCCATCTGGTTTGGAAAAGGTAAATAAGGAAAAGTTATTGACTTGTTCCCATAACACAAAAACGAGGGGGGTCGCCCGATGAAATGAACAGGTAGCATTTGTCAGAAGCTTGGTCCCTGTTCTGCTCACTCCCTTTGGGGCACTTGGCATTATTGGTCACATAGGTAAAGTGCATGTCAGAGGTTTTGTAATGATGCAAAAACCAAACGTTTAAATCCCAGCAAATTCACAGCCAGGATTCAATATAATAAAGATCCAAACATGTATGAAAGTGCATAGCAAAGGCACCCAAAGAGCCTTAAATCTATCCTGTACGTGTCCCAGAAGGAAAAAAACCATTAATGTGTCTTTAACAATCAGTGTAATGTTATCTGAGTTCCCACCCACAGAAATGTCTTAGTCACATTGTGCACAGTACGGCAGAATTAAGGTTTCTGCTGACGAAGAATGTTTGTGCAATGAAGCACAAGCGGAAACAGCTGGAATTGACTATAGAACACACTCTTCAAATGTAGCCCAGGTACAAAACGGTGAGTTTAACTGAATGGAAAGTTGAAGAGTTTGTGGTGGGGCAGAGTTAAGGTTGTTTATGAGGCCTAATGTGACCTTAACATGTTTGGATTTCTTTAAGTTTAACCTTAACTGTTAATTTCCTGTGTTTATGATACTTGTTTTTCAGATAAGGGCATCATTTGTCATGTAGTTTACTCTGCGTTACTCATATGCACTCTCAGCCAGAACTCTGAATTCTCCTCATTTTTTTTTTAATAAAAAGTGCCAGCCCCCCGCGGCGTGACAAAGAGGGAATTGTCTGCAATATGTCTGTGAATGAGGGCGCGGCACTTACTCAGCTATGGGCTGCTATCCAGTGGGCACAGAAGGGATAAAAAGCAGCTGTTGGGGCAAAGCAGGAGACATGAGGGGCTGGCCCCCAACTGTCTGGGATGGAGTGAGGGTCCTTAAGGCACTGACTGAACCCCACCGAGATCACAACCCTTCCTAGACAACATGGGGAGCCGCCCAGCAAAGCCCGTACCTTGGGCATCTACCTCACATCCAGAGGAATTCCCTGGGGCGGATGCCCGCTCACCCTTCCAGCCCCACTCCCACCCTCGTCTGAGGACTCCGCCGGAGCCTGGCTCTTTTGCCAATGGCACTGGGGTGAATCGCACCCTCGCTGTATCGAGGGAGTGTCTCTGGAAGGGCTTTAAGTCAGAGGGGCCATGGCCTCGCCTGGCAGGAGGCAAAGGCAGGTATAAAAGTCCACTGATCAGCTGGGGCAGAAGGGAAGAGGGACTCACCAGCTCACCTGGGCACCTGCCGTCACCGGCTTTGGGAGACAGGTAGAAACTCCAGTTCTCTTCCAGGAGCTTCAACCGCTACAGCCTTGTTATCCCGTCTTGGGCCGGTCTGTGGGTGTCCAGCCGCTTTTATCCAGTTCCCAGTGGGTGGCACGGTGACTGGTTACTGCTTTGCAAGCCGACGGACACGGACCAATGAGGATGTGACTAACGAAGTCAAGTTTGCCAACAGTGACTCGATGTCCCACTTTTAAAGGGACTGTCCTGCCTTTCAGCCTTCCCGGCTGTGTCCCTGCGCTAAAAAACGGGCCAGTTGTCAGATGTCTTTGTCTCTCCCCTCCAGTCAGTACTGGTGGGTCCTGCTGCTGGCCGGAGCTTTGCTCCCAGCTGCTCCCCCAAGTATTGCACATGGTCGATCCCCCACAGATATTAGTCCCAGACAGAACAAACGCAACCAACTTACTTAAGTACCAACTTTACACAGATCTTACGAGAAAGAAACATCAGAAATAACCGTAACAAGTCCAACTTACTCTCTGCAACGTCACTTGGCTACCTTAGGGTCCACATCCATTATCTGCACACTTCTACAGGGACACAAAAGAGAGAATGAAATCAATCGAAACCGGTCAGTCCCCACAGTGTCAGAGTGAGAAGAGACACATGGGAGGTTTTTTCGGGTAAGAAAGACAATACCCCCGTTTGAGAATACAACATAAAAAGCAGCATCTGAATGTATCCACACAGCCATGTGAATGTCCTGCAGCCACCGTTATAGTTACCAGGGTGCTACTTGGATGATACTAATAGCTGCGTAGATTGGGCCCAAGCAGAGGAGCCAGGTTCTGTCGGCCAAGTCCCGTACTGAGTTTTCTTATGCTGGTCTATACGTTTTGCTGAACTCTATTGTAATTAATTTCTTTGCAACAAAGGGTTATTTCAAGAGTCCCTTCATTGTCATGGAATCCTAGAACTGGACAGGACCTCGAGAGGTCATCGAGCCCAGTCCCCTGCCCTCATGGCAGGACCCAGCACTGTCTAGATTTTAAAACTCCGGGGGTGCTTCAGGGTCATCAATCTGCCCCTTGTTACTCATTAGGTACAGCGGGTGCATTTGATAGTCTCTTGGAGGCCCTGAGTTTCCGGCCCCTCCTTTGCCATCTGGACGCTGTAATGGCCTCTGCTCTTATCTTTCCCCATGCGTGCATTCCTCGCTCGCACAAACGAGGATTACATCGTTTCTTTCATAAAGTCCGCACAGAACATTCTAGGACTAGGAGCTAATTATTACAGAATTTTTCCACCCTAAAAAGCTAATCCAAACATAATTAAATCTTATGTTCTAAGGACAAAAGGATGAGCACAGTGCGTACCACGGGCTCTTCTGGTCTGTTCCTGCCTTAACGTCAGTGACAGACACCGATAACACATCTGATGCGTCTCTACCAATCTCATTTTTGTGCTAGGTGGCCAGCAGGGTCCACCAAGGCATATTACATCATACAAAGCTAAAACGAATGATTAAAACTCCACATGACAATGCCACTCAAATACCACAGTTCTGTGGCTGCTACAGAAATACAGACAAGAGAAACTCCGAGTTCCCAAAGCCTTAGGCTGAGTTAACCGGAGCCTCAGAGTACGTCTACACTAGCACGTTAGTTCGAGCTAGGTAGGGTAATTAGGGCAAGCGGAGTTGCAAGCGGAGTTAAATATCCCGGGCTTCATTTGCATGTTCCTGGGCGCCGCCATTTTAAAATTCCCCTTAGTCCAAACTCCGTGCCCGCGGCTACACGTAGCACGGAGTAGGTAGTTCGAATTAAAGATCCTAATTCAAACTACCGTTACTCCTCCATATTGTGGAGGTCGCAAACTGTGTTAACAGTAAATGAAGATATGACCACCATTGCTTACAGTTATTGTGAGAATGCACAATGCAGAAAAGTCAGACTGTTTTTAATTCAGTTAAAAGGAGAGACCCAATACACTTGGATGGACAGAAGCTGTTCCTTCAGGCTATGTCTACACGGCAGGCTTCTTGCACAAGAACTGCTTCGTGCAAGAGTTCTTGTGCAAAAATTCTTGTGCAAGAGCGTGTCCACACTGCCATGTGCTTTTGTGGAAGAGTGTCCATGGCAGTGTGGACACTCTCTTGCACAAGAAAGCTCTGATGGACATTTTAGCCATAGGTCTTCCTTGTGCAAGAAACCCATTGCCTGTCCGCACTGCCTTCTTGTGGAAGAGCTCTTGCACAAGAGGGCTTAGTCCTCGTGGGGAGAGGAATAACTCTTGCACAAGAAACCCTGTTTTCCTAAGTTTTACTGTACATTTACTTGTGCAAGAACACATGTGCAGTGTGGATGATCTGCAAGTTTTTGCAGAAGAACGGCCGTTCTTGTGCAAGAAGCCTGCAGGGTAGACGTAGCCATAGTGTATTTGACTTTGGGCCACACCTAACGATTTCTGTGATCTCAGCTCTTGGCCAGAGCACAGACCAGGCACAAGACATTCCAGCATCCTCTGGAATACATTTACATACAGAAGAGACGCCTTATGGAGCCTTTCCTTAACTCTATCATTGCAACAGTGGGGAGAAATGGGTTGGACCAGTCTTATAACTCATACCTGGAGTACATGCAGCCTGCTGACTCACCTTGCGAGCGGGGAAGCGTTGCCTCCCAGAGGTGCTCTGTGAATTTCCCAGGTTACTGGGTGGGGGCTCTAGCCAGTTCTGTGATGGATGGAGACCCACCCCTAGATATCAAACCGGGCCCTGGTTGCTCCTGGTGCTACCTGGCAGAAGGGTTACACAAGGAACCTCTTTCCTCCTGAGAAGCCTCTCGGAACCCCTGCCACGTGTCCATACTGCCCTCTTGTGCGAGAGGGCTTACACTTGTTAGAAAAGAGCTTAACTCTTGCGCAACAAGCCCTGTCTTCCGACACCGTACTGTAAATCTTGCGCAAGAGCAGGCGGGCCATGTGGACGCTCTGCGGGTTCTCGCGCAAGAACCCACCAGTGTAGACAGAGCCAGACTGTGCTTGCGAGCGGGGAAGCGTTGCCTCCCAGAGGTGCTCTGTGAATTTCCCAGGTTACTGGGTGGGGGCTCTAGCCAGTTCTGTGATGGATGGAGACCCACCCCTAGATATCAAACCGGGCCCTGGTTGCTCCTGGTGCTACCTGGCAGAAGGGTTACACAAGGAACCTCTTTCCTCCTGAGAAGCCTCTCGGAGGAGCTCACTGCCCTCCAAAATCCAAGTCCTTGGTACTTAGGGTGACCTCTACGAGGCACGAGAGGAATTGTGGGTAAGTTCCCTATGCAAATGTAGCTGTGTGAGGGATGAGAGCTCTTTCTCCTCAGCAGTTCCCGGGGAGATTTACACAGAGAAGAGATGGCGTCGGTTTCATTCATTGTTCAGTGTCACATTATGGGTTTGATCGCAACAGGGATGTGAATGGGTAACTGGTTAACCTCAGGTTAAAGAGAGCACCTTGGCTTGCAGATACAACCAGCAGATGGGGGGACCCGGGTGTCGGGGGAAACTGGGTGTCGGGGGGAACCAGGGGATGGTGGGAAATGAGAGACTGGAAGAATCAGGGGACAGGAGGAACTGGGCAGCAGGGGGGATTATGGGATGGGGGAAAGGGGGAACAAGGGGAACTGGGCAGCAGGGAAAACCTGGAGCAGGGGGAATCGAGGGGCAGGGGGAACTAAGCAACAGGGGGAATCAGGGGCCAATGAGAACTGGATGGGAGGGTGTCATTTAATTGGATTTTAAAGTGAGCAGACAGATCACTGTTGCACCCATGGGGAGTGTTTGCCCCGAAGTCTGTACAAAGGGGGCCATGTGAGGTGTCAAATGAAAGCTTATGCTCTACTGATTCTATGTGTGCTACTCAGGTACGTGTGTGATCATAGAATCATAGAATAATAGGACTGGAAGGGACCTTAAGAGGTCATCGAGTCCAGCCCCCCGCCCTCAAGGCAGGACCAAGCTCCGTCTACACCATCCCTGACAGATGTCTATCTAACCTGTTCTTAAATATCTCCAGAGAGGGAGATTCCACCACCTCCCTTGGCAATTTATTCCAATATTTGACCACCCTGACAGTTAGGAATTTTTTCCTAATGTCCAATCTAAACCTCCCCTGCTGCACTTTAAGCCCATTACTCCTTGTCCTGTCCTCAGAAACCAAGAGAAACAAATTTTCTCCTTCCTCCTTGTGACACCCTTTTAGATATTTGAAAACCACTATCATGTCCCCCCTTAATCTTCGTTTTTCCAAACTAAACAAGCCCAGTTCATGAAGCCTGGCTTCATAGGCTTCTCTAGACCTTTAATCATTCTTGTCACTCTTCTCTGTACCCTTTCCAATTTCTCCACATCTTTCTTGAAATGTGGCGCCCAGAACTGGACACAGTACTCCAGCTGAGGCCTAACTAGTGCAGAATAGAGCGGCAGAATGACTTCACGAGTTTTGCTTACAACACACCTGTTGATACAACCTAGAATCATATTTGCTTTTTTTGCAACAGCATCACACTGTTGGCTCATATTCTAGTCTTACTCCCTACCAGAGGTGGAGAGTAACTAAATAGAAATACTTCATTATACTACTCAAGTAAATTTTTTCAGTATTTGTACTTTACTCAAGTAATTTATTTTTTGATACCTTTACTTTTACTCAAGTAGGTTTTTTTAGAAAATATCGTAATTTTTACGCCACTACAATTTCCGGAAGCACATAGTTACTCACTACGTTCATCGTTCTGATTTGCCTAAGCGCAGCTTCTTGCGCAAGCACCCAATAATCCAAAAAAATAACCAATCAAGAAGCACAATGACCCTGCCAACAATGAAGCCATTTAGGGTAGGTCTAGATTACTTGCCTCTGCCAGCAGAGGCGTGTAAATTAGACTATCTGACATAAGGAATGAAGCGAGGATTTAAATATCCCCCGCTTCATTAAAATAAAAATGGCCGCTGCGTTGTGCTGGCTCAGCTGATCATTGGCACAACGTGGCAGTCAAGATGCGGATCACTCGGGAAGGAAAGCCTTTGCCGACCAGCCTCTTATGCCTCGTTTACGGCAGAGGCATGTAGTCTAGTCTAGACATACCCTAAGTCACCATCTTGCAGTATCTCTCCTTAATTATTAGAAGGAAACCATCCTGCATCTTCTAATTCTGTCCTGAATATTAGGGTACACTGCAGGTGCCAGTAATTTGAACTTTAGTACTCATAATTCTCACACTAAGCCCCTGTTGTTGGAGATCATGAAAGCCTGTATAATCGATTCTTCTGGGCCCCTGAGCAACCAGGGCTGCTGCCCAGGGCCATGTGCGGAGGGGGCGCATTTGAATAGTCTCATGTGACCTTAGCTGGGGCCAGCCAGCTAAATAGGAGGGAAACCCAGCAGCCACCTCAGCCAAGGTCGGGGAGGACAAAGGCACTTACTTGTGTCAGGTAAATCCTTGCTCTGGTAGGAGCAGCATCAGGGTGGGTGCCCAGGGCCGGGGCTCCCTATTCTCCCTGGGACAGGGGGCTCCCCGAATGACAGACCGTGCCAAGTCTGGGCACAGCTGAG